TCATCAGACATAGCAGCACGCCACTCATTATGATTTAAAGCTTGCGAAACACATGTTGGTTCAATAGCAACAGGTAAAGGATATTTAGTGACTAGATTAAGACGTTTAGGCTTGAAAATATTATTTTGGGATCTAGTTCTCATAGGGTGCATTCACGCAACAGGATTGGAAACAGAAACAGGATCTGATACAACTTGCAATGGGACAGGATTAGACTCGATTAACTCAGACTCTGGAACAGCTACTTCGACTAGAACAGAAAGTGAAGCAGCTACGTTATTTGGAGAATGAGTGATAGCTAAACCAGAAGATAACAAGTCAGTAGAAGAAGTGTCATTATTAGAAGAGTAAAACGGAACAGTCTATACAGGAGGAGCATAATTGATAATAGAAAGATCATACCAAGAATTGACAGGGGCTGTAGCATTCTCCAGTTTATCTTGACCTGGAAAAATCATTTCACAAAACTGCACATGTCTAGAAACATAAAGTCTACCACTATTATAATCATAACAAAGATAAGCACTCTGGTTTGAAGAGTATCCCAAAAAGATACAAGGTTTAGACTTTATATCAAATTTATTTTTGGCATAAGGTCGAAGACACGGGTAGCATAAACAACCAAAAACCCTCAAACTATTATAATTTGGATGTTGACCAAGAAGCTTATAATAAGGCGACGAAGCTTATAATAAGGCGACAAATAACCAAAAATTGGAGTTGGGAGTCTATTAATTAAATATGCTGCAGTTTTAAAAGCATAAGACCAGTATGTTTTCGGCAAAGAGGCTGAATGAAGAAGAGTAAGCCCAGTTTCAACCAAATGTCTATGCCGACGTTCTGTTGCCCCATTATGTTGAGGAGTGTGAGGTGGTGTTAGAAGATGAGAAATACCATTATTTTGAAAAATTGATCCCAAAGCAGTATATTCACCTCCCCCATCAGTATAAATAGACACAATTTTAGTGGAAAACTTATTCTCAACAAGCTTTTGAAACATGGGAAAGATTGTAGAAACATCAGACTTGAATTTTAAAGGAAACAACCAAATATATTTCGTAAAATGGTCAACAAAAATAACATAATATTTGAACCCATCAACATATTCAACAGGAGCAGGACCCCACAAGTCTGAATATAATAACTCTAAAGGACGAGAATTTTTTAAAAACGACGTCCCAAACGTGAGTCTATGACTCTTATTACATTGACAAAAATCACAATTAAATCTTTCACTAAGAGAAAGAGGCAAACTGAATTTAGACAAAATATAACTTGAGATTTTCTTGGACGGATGACCCAGACGATTATGCCAAAACAACGAAGATGCACGAACACTAACACAAGCTTGAGGACTAGAAGCCAATCGGTCTTTAGACAAAGACGACAGACGATACAAGGAATCCTTAATTCGCCCTTTTTCTCCCCGATACCCACGATCCTCACAAAAACAATCAAAGGAAAAATCAAATGGACACATTATTCTGTAAACAAAACTCAGGATACAGATATGAGATCTCTCTCTAGTTTTAGGGGAACACCACACAACACATAGTAAGAGCAGCATGTCTCTTGAAGGAAAAGAAAGACGCTTGAACACCCAACATGTGTAAATACGCAAAACCTGATCATCAGCTCCAAATGACGACTCATCAATGCCATTTCAAATAGGATGCATGAAGTGAGAGATAGTCTGTAACATCCATTGGTGACCATGATGAGTTGCCATGATGAGTTGCCCCAGTATCAAGAACCCAGCTGTTGTCAGGAGAAGCAGAAGAAGTAACTGAATTTGCCCGTGGTTGAGGAAAATTGTTCTTGAAAAAATTCTTTGCCTTAAAGCATTGTTTTGCTGAGTGACCAGGTCGATCACAAATTTGGCAAGGAATCTTCGACCGACCACTATTGTTCATCTGTCGACCTTGAGAGTCAAGAGGAAAGTTAGACTTATCAACAGGAGTATCGTTCTTTCGAAAAGAAGATCCTTTCCGAACAGAATTTACAGTAACTGGCACCACTTCAAAAGTTAGATCAGTGCGTTTGAGATACAACTCATGTGCAAGAAGCTTGTCTTCTAATTCTTCAAACGAGATTACAGAATCACGAGCACGCACAACCGCTGCTATTTCCTTAAACTCAGGTCCAATTCCATTGAGCACATAAATAACTAAATCAATAGCAGATACTGGACTTCCACAAAGAGATAAATCATCAGAGACAACTTTAACCATCTGCAAATACTCAGAAACTGACCTGGATTCCCTTTTAAAATGAGATAATTTTTCACAAAGAGAGATGATTCTAGTCACAGATTTGTTTGCAAAGGAACTTTGAATCCGATCCCAGGCATCGGCAGAGTTATCGGCCGAATTAACCACATGCATAGCAGAAAAACTTGTAGCACTTATAATGGCAGCCAAAATCAATTGATCTTGACACACCCTGAACTCATAATTAGAATTCGGTACCTCCTTCCCATCTTTCTATATAACCAAAGGAGGAGGAGAAATCTTTCGCTCAACATACCCAATCAAACCATAACCCCTAAGGACAGGAACCACCTGAGCACGCTAGGAAGGATAATTTTGGGATGTTAACTTTAAAGGAAACTGAGAAGAATTGAATGAAATCAAGGTACGGCCAGAAGAGTGGGTAATATTTGGAACATTCGATGATGAAGCCATGAAATCTAGCAATAGAGTCGAATGAAAAGATAAAAGGGGAAAAAAAACAGAGATCTAATCTTGGATGATTAGAAATGTATAAGAAAAAAAAAACCGTAGTTTTTACGGCTCTGATACCATAAAAGATAACAGATGAACTAAGGTTTTTCCCAATATATTTCAGTTGCTACTATACAACACTTTAAATAGAGAGAGCAGTTACAATATGATAACTATACACCTATATGATAACTTAACAACCTGTATACTTAGCGGTAAATGTATTTCAGTTGCTACTGTACAACACTTTAAATAGAGAGAGCAGTTACAATATGATAACTTACAACCTGTAATACTTAGCTATAGAAACGGCTAATCCTTATCTTATCACTTAGGACTTAATAACCCTTATTTACATCAAATACAAAAAATATATTTGTTTTGATATAAAACATAATTTAGTTAAATTATTTTTAATTTTGTTATAATCCAAAAGAGTTAATTACTTCCTTAATCCTCATGTAAAAGCATTAAACGACTTATATTTTGGGATAAATGGAGTATTTCTTATATAATATAATTATTATGAGAGATAATTTAATTTTTTTTATTCATTGAATACTATATGTGAAAAAGTATATATTCTTAGTTTAATTTTCATCAAATAGAATTCTCCAAGATTTTCTACTTCAATTTCTGAAATCCTAATATTAAAAGTTGCAGTATTCTGTATAGTACAAAATGAAAAGTAAGTATTGAACTATTTGTCAAAATGGAAATGCTGGTGGTCTTAATTTTTATATATGATAACAACCGAAAAAGAAAATAATGAAGATAGATAGAAATTGTTTGTTAGGGGCAACTGAATCCTCAAAACTAATTTTAAGTCAACAATATTTAACGGTAACTAATAGAACCATTAATTATTTTAGTAAAATTAATGTGAACTCCACCTAATAATTATACAATCAATAATTTTGAAACACATTTATTATATATTATATAATATAAAAAATCAAAAATCAAAATCTCTCTCCACACACACTCTCTCTTGTTTTGTACTATATAAGAATGAATATAGACAGCTGGATTAACAAAAATGCATTGTAACTCTAAACAAATTTTTCTTGTAAAATCAGAAGTGAAAATATAGATTCGACGTAATTAAGAGAATTTTATCTAAATATTATTTCGAGTTTAAGTATAAAGACGTGTGATTAAACAAGAAACAGAGAGAAAAAAATATGAGTTGTGAATTGATAAAAACTTAAATAGTTTTGGGGGCAAAATGGGTTTTGTCTCCACTTCGGTGTGGTTCAATATAAATTAATTAAACAACGTGACGTTGACCTCATGGCTGTATTAAATTAAAAAGAAAACAAGAAAAGTAAACCTCCAGGTCCAGCCACCATAAAAGGTTCCGTTCAAACATGGGTTGCAGCCGTTTGAATGCTTCAGGGGACCCACTTAATATAAAAAAAGTTGCTGCAAATTGCCAATGGTGTTTGCACTAATCAAAAGAATTTTCCTTTTTTTTATTTTATTTTATTTTATTTTATTTTAAAGATAAGTGACTTTGTCATATCGAAGCAATAATAATTCTCTAAGTTATTTGATTAAACTATTCTTTATCTTATCTTTATCTCAAAATTAAAAGTAACATAAGAGATAATTATTATATTTAACATAAATAAAGATAATTAATATTAAAAAACCATTTATTATTCTTTAAAATACTTAAAACAATTCATATTTTAACTCATTAAAATACTCAAAACAATTTATGTATCTTTAGACGGATAGAGTATAAATTTGGGAGAATTTATCAATTAATTAAGCTTAGTCTTTGTATTAGGATTGACAAATGAGAATGGTTTAAGGTTATCAACTTATAATCTATGTAAATTAATTATCTTGTTATAGGATAAATCGAACGTTGATTACCACCTTTGCATATCAAATTATTGTTAATTTCAAGCTACAGGTAATAGTACAAACATTTCAAGCTAAGGCTATAACAACAAATATTGTTAAACTCGAATTTTAACTCATTCAAAAATAGTAAAATTCCAACTCATTTGATACCATAAACAAACTAAACTTTTACATTTGAACTTGAAATCAACAAGTCAATAAAAATACATCAATCAAATTAAAACAACATCATTTTGATGTAACTTGATAAAATTGATTCAGAATTAATTAATTAATTAAATTTAAAATTGATTCGTGATGAACTAATTAGTTAAATTTTAAGTTCAATCCAATAACTTTTATCCAACTAATTCAACTGAACACAGAAGAGGAAATTAAAGATATGTAGTACACGATATCAGATGAGTCTCAACTTTCATGTATATCATTAATTTGCTTAAAATAGAAAAATTTCCAATATTTTTCATGCCATGTAATTGGACACCACTTTGTATCCAAGTATAGATCTACTTTTCTTTTTCCTTGATATGTAAGAATTATGTACAGACTAGCTAATTAAAAAAAAATTACACTAAAATATGAATGATCTCTTTTTTTTTTCCTCTCTTGATTAACTAATTAATTAATTAATTAATTAATTAACTAATTAAGAAGGATAAAAAGAGAGCAAATTTGCAGGTATACAAGGAGAATTCTTCCAAGCTCTAGCATGCAATTTAAGCACTTCTCTAGCCTTCTCTTTATTCTTGATTCCACAATCCACTTGAAGCACTAAACAAAGCTTAGCCACAACACCTATTTGCAGCATTTCTTGAAGAACATTGTTGGTTGCTGAAAATTTTGAGATTGATAACAAAATCCGCACTGCTTTTTCACTTGCCACTTGAGAAACTCTCAGTATTTTCTTGGAAACTACTGCAAGCCCTGCGCCATGTCCTAACAACTCAGCTCTTCCTTCTGCACATTGGCAGACCAGATCAAGAACCATTAACGCCATCTCACAAACCCTTTTCTCTGACGAATCAAGAAGAAGATTAATCAAAACAGACACTGCATTGGCTGCTACTGCTTTGACTCTGTTTCTTCCCCATGGACAAAGATTTACGAGCAATCGTAGAGAAGATTTTGTTGCTTGATGTGAGATTTGATCGCGTAAAATTTGAACTATTTCGACAAATAGTTCTTGTCTTAAATTTATAAGCTGGATCGGATCAGCAACTTCAAGAATTGACTTCAGTAACAAAACTGAATATGCCCGAGACTCGTAATTCCCATTTTTCAAGATTCTTGTTAAAGAATCAATAATTTCTGCATTTTTACTTATAAGTACCTTCAATCCAGATTCAGATAATTGAAGACCGTAAAGAAAGCTTAAAGCTTCATCGCTCAGACTTATTGCCTCATTAATCTCTTCAAGATTCGAAGACGAATATTCTTCAAAAGATAAAGAATTGTAGGTATTAACAATGGAAGCCAAGAACTCCACAACGCCTGCAGATTCCATGCATCTTTTATTTGTATCATTAACATTAGCCATTGAACGTAGCTTCTTCAAACATTTCATCTGTTGCTGTGGCGATGACATGGTGGCATCTTTTATAAGCTTAGATATCTGTGCTTTGCTAACTGGAGGTTTTGGAGTTGGAATTCTTTCTATGCCATGAGAAGCATTAAGAGTGCACCAAGATTGTATCAAACGCATAAGAGTTACGTTTGGAGTTAGCTCACAATCTGATATGACTTGTTTGGTGACCGGACAAGTATTGTTTTTGCCTGAGAATAGCCATTTTTCTATACTCTCTCGATCATATGTAATTCCAGTTGGTACTGTAACTGGATCTTTCATTATTTGCAGAGAAATGGGGCAGAGAAAAAATGGAGGGACATCAATATCTTCCATTTTTGATGATCAAGACCTTGAAGAAAGTGTTTTTAAAGAAAAACCCAGATGAGATGAGAGATAAGTAAGGATTAGGAGATAGAGTTTGAGGTTTTGTTGTTGTAGGCGTTGAGAATTTGGTTTGTTGTTGAGTTTTTTCTGGAGAAGATACAGTTTTATATATGAGACGAGGAATATGAAATAGTGAGTAATGAGTTATTATCCAGTGTTCAAAGTCAAAACACGGAAAATACGAGAGTTGAGAGATGGGTATGACTTTTCTAAGGTATTTTGATAGGCTCGAGAATGACAAACTTTACCAAGTCTTGAATTTTCTTTCTATCGATGTGCTTTACGGTGCAACTCAAATGTTTAACTCATGAGAGTAGTCTATAATAAAATGCATTAACTGAGTCTAAGCACAATTAAGTTTTATATTTCAACTCCCTTCAAAAAAAAAAAATAATAATTATTTTCATAATTGAAATTTTAGAAACAAATCTTTAAAGAATTTTTCTAAATTTTTATATCAATTAGTATTTACTAGCCATTTATTTTATCTAATTGACTATGATGAATTAAATTTTTAGAAATAGTTACAATGAAAAATTTATACATTGAAACGGTGATTAGGTTAAGTAACACCGTAATAATTCAACAAAAATAAAATATTTTCAATGATAAGATATGTAAATTAAAATAAAAAAGATCATTTCTATTTTTTATTTTAATATATCTATCTCAAATTTGATTAAATTAACAATCCTATTTATGGTTCGAGATATTATCATTGTTGCACTTATAGTTAAATATTTAATTTCTTTTAGGATTTTATTGATTAATTTTTGATATTGATGACAGGTTTGCATTATATTAAATTAAATTAATGAATGAATAATTCAACAAGTATACATTTCTGGTTGTATTGATTAGGATTTAAATTTTATGATAAGAAAAGTTCAAAATAATCTGTAAAAATAAATTGACAAATCATAACACCACTTAATAATAATAATAAGTATAGTATATACCCAGCTTCACAAAAAAAAAAAAAAAAAAATGACAAATCAAAAACCACTTACATAATAATTAATAAGTATAGTATATACCCCAGCTTCACAAAAAAAAAAAAAAAAAAAAATAGTATATACCCTTTTGACTTTCTCTCTCTAGAAGTTATATATTACTTTAGTAAGGGAAAGACGGTGCTGAGCTCGTATATTGGCGGTCTTCGCTCGTGTTTTAAATGGGGTGGATTCAGATGAACACTTACCGACAAGGAAGGAAGGAAAGGCGCTTTCGTGGCTGCTACTTGTTCCTTTCTTCACTCTATGTTTCTACTTTCCACTCAGCTCCAGCTTTTCCTTTATTTTTTTATTATTTATTTATTTATTCCTTCTCTCTCTTTTGAGTTTCCTCTACTCTTGACCACTATAATTATACATACACGTATACACACAGCTCCCCCTTTGACATTTATCCTATAATTTTTTTCTATATTTATTATAAAAATAGACATAGTATGGTCTGACTTTTATTATTATTATTATTATTATCTCATTACTTCTTCGATATAAAAACTATTCTCCTTTTAGGATTTATAGTTGTTTGCATGCATCTCACAGTGAAATAGGAATTTTATTATCTTGTATTAACTCTATTACATAATATTTATCACATTTAAAATTTTACATTCTTTAAAAAAATTATTAGATTCATCTAAATTTTAATAAATTATTGAGTAAATTCACTATATTATCTTTAATTTAACATTAATTTTCTAAGAAAAATTATAAATTGAAGTAATAATTATTTGTTATATACAAATGATAAATATGAAAAATAATATTTATTACTCATTGAAACAACAAATGTGACAAATATTTTGGAACAAACTATTTTCTCAAATGTGACAAATATTATAGAATGAAAGTAGTAATATCCATGCATTAAATTCAAGTGTTTTTAATAAAAAAAATCAAATAATAAATATTATAATATGTTTTTAATAAATAATAATAAATTATATATTTTTAGATAAGTTACTTGTAAGAAATAACTATAACCAATCAAACTAAAGTTTTATTAAAAATAATAATCAAACATATTATATTTTTGTCATATTTAATTAAATTATCTTTATTTTTTCAACCAATAATAAAGATATTATATTCTATATATTACCTTATTTATACTATAAATAATTCTTCTCTATTTTATCCCCATAGAATTTAGATTAATAATCATTAATATAACCGTATTTAAATTAAATTCTTTTATTTTCAACAAAATTTAAATTATTAAGATTTATATTATTTCCATATTATGTTATATTAACCCTTTATTATATATACCTTATATAGTATATAATATAACTTCTTATTAAATATATACCTTATAATATATAATATAATTTGTTATTTTATCCAATAGAATAAAAAAAGTCCTTTGATTTAGTTTCTCATTTACTTATTAAATTAACAGAATATTTTAATTTAAAATATTAGCCTTTAACTTAGTGTACTTAATTTCCAGTTTAAAAATCAAATATGCAATTTTAATATTTTACATAAAATTATTTTTACATTAAAATTATGTTGTATTTGATTTGGATAAGACTAAATAACCCTTAATGATATTTTTAATCATCCATCAAAATTAAAAGTCCGTAGAGACGTTTTAGGGAGCAATGTTCCCCCTCATTCGTACTTTTATATATATTATAGATTACTATATATATATATGGATTTTATCATATAAATAAGTTGGTTTTTTTTAAAAAAAAGTAATAAAAGTATAAATTTACAAAATACTACTACCTTTATTCCATAATATTTGTCACATTTGAAATTTCACGTCTTTTAAGAAAATCATTAAATTTGTCTAAGTTACAATAAATTATTGATTGAAATTTCACGTCTTTTAAGAAAATCATTAAATTTGTCTAAGTTACAATAAATTATTGAAGAAATTGACTATATTACCCTTAATTTAACACTAATTTTTTAAAAAAACATTAAATTGAAGTAATAATTATTGGTCAGATACACGCGTAACCATAGAAAAAATATTTATTACTCCTTGAAACCACAAATGTGACAAGTATTTTGAAATAAATTATTTTCTTATATGTGACAAGTATTATAAAACAGAGATGGTATCAAATAACCTAAAAAAGTAGCTAAATATTTTTATCTTTCAGCAAATGAAAAAAAAAAGAGTTAGTTCAACTAATTGTTCAAAACATAATTTTAAAAAAATTAGTTGAATTAATAAGTGGATTTTACAGTAAAATTTTAAAACATTTTTTGTAGTGTTGTATAATATATATAAACTTTTACAGGTTAAGAAACGTAATCCCACTTGACTTATAGCATTTCACAATAATTAATGAATTAATTTTTAACATTTATATTCATTACTTTTAAAAAAATAATAATTAATCAAAATAATGACTTATAGCATTTCCCTTTGTTTTTTTTATCATTTTAAATTTAATGATTAATCAAATAATTACTTTTATCAAATAGAATATTAAAAACTACTTAAAAAAATATTACCCATATTGGTTAAAACATCTTTAATTTAAACATCAAACTAGAATTACATTGAAACACCCAAAACTATTAATAAAAAATTCCAACTAAAGCTATATATATAGCTGTTGGCTTTTGACTAACCAATAGTTTTGCATCCACACATCTACATGTGGCTGATGCTTGGTCAACTCTTATAGCATATAAAACTTTTTTTAGTTCATGCAAAGCATTATCCGATTACAACGTTAAATTACTTAAAGAAACAGTAAATAAATCTGAAATTAAATTATATAAATTTTGTCATATAATTGATTAATGCAATTTATTCCTCGTTTCAAATAAATAATTATAATTTTTTATTACGCATGCCCCTATGCTTCCTCCTTGGTGGAAATTTTGCTTACAACATATATTTTTCTTTTAATTAAAAGCACATAATTTAAACAGAAGATCCAACTATAAAAGAATGCCATGTTTTTTTTAAAAAATTTTTTTTGTTAATATTGTATGATTTGGTCAATATATGGATGGTCTAAATGATCCATCTGTTGCTTACTGAATCATTAATAAGTGTATAGATATATATATGTGATTAATTGATTAATTAATTATATTTTTTTAAAAAAATGATTACTTAATTATGATCAACAAATAATTTTGAAATGGTAACCAAATCCATTTGTTTTATTTCTTCTACATACAGCGTGTTACACACCTTGATTAGTGTTTGATTATTAATTTCATTAATGGGTGTTAGAATCAATTTAGATGAAAAAAAAAACCAATATTTTATTATTCATGTAAATCTAGAAATTTTTTGGTGATAATTACGTGTGTGAGATTTTCTCAATTACAGGATGTCTATCTATGTATGACGAATTAATTAATCTTTTTCTCTTAAATATAAAGAAATAATTTTTTTTTTGATTTTTCACGTGCTTCAATGATAAAAATAGAAGTGATGGAAGCGTTAATGGTGGCCAACAACCATATGCTAAACCCGTCAAAAGGGCAGCCGACGTTCTTCTCAACCAACCACTACTTCTCCATTTTAACGCTTTATTTTAGTTGTGAACTGTAAATTAAATTAAAAATGTCGACTTTTTAAATTAAAATTTATTTATTCAAAATAATTTATTAAAGTTAGTCATATTTTGGTGATGTAGTTTTTTTATAAAATAATAATAAGTTTTTTATTTTTAATTTTTAATTTTAAGGCCCACAGACTGAGAGTTGAAAGTTGAAACAGACAGACAAGAGCTGTCTTTATTCCTTAGCCACGTTTTTGGAGATGTTGTTATTATTATTATTATTATTGCATCAAGTAGCAAAGAGTAAGAGCCGTGTGCGAGTGTAGACGTGGACTGCGTGGAGAAATCTTGTTTACCCTTTCTTTTGCCCTTTTCGGTGGCTCCGGCGCCCCACTGCCCGCCCTTCCAATTTTTACATGTAGCAATGAATAAATTGTAAGAGAAATATAAAATGGTCCGTAAATATAGTTAAATTAATACACGATAATCTTTATTTTTAACAATTAACTAAGAATTTTTTAAATTATATCTTCGTTAACATTATAATATAGAAATCAATTTATATTTATTTTCACCTTAAGACTCTTTTTTTTTTA